ACTGAGATCCCTTTAGGATCCCTCATGACTTCCAAACCAAGAAAATAACCCTTTGGACCCAGATCTTTAACCTTAAATTCCTTAGACAAGAAGGTTTTAAGTTGCTGAATATCCCCACGATGGCTACCAGCAATCAGAATGTCATCCACATACACAAGGACAACAACTACTCTACCCTGAATCCATCTCACAAACATTGAGTAATCAGAAGCAGTCTGTGAGTATCCATTCTTCAATAAAGCATTGGTAAGCTTAGAAAACCACTGCCTACTTGCCTGTTTAAGGCCATACAAGGATTTTTTGAGTTTGAAAACCAAACCTGAATCCTTGGGAACATCCACACCAGGAGGAATTTCCAAGTAAACTTCTTCTTCTAAGTCACCATGCAAGAATGCATTGGACACATCCATCTGGTGGATGTGCCAATCCTTAGCTGCAGCTACTGCTAATAGGGTTTTCACAGAATTGATTTTGGCTACTGGGGAATAGGTGTCTAGAAAGTCTATTCCATAAATCTGAGTGTAGCCTTTGGCTACCAATCGAGCTTTAAACCTCTCAATTCCCCATCTGACCTGTATTTTACTTTGAAAACCCACTTAGCACCAATAGGTCTCTTTCCTGCAGGTAACTTAACAACTTCCCAAGTCTGATTCTCATACAATGCAAAGATCTCTTCTTTACAGGCCTGTTTCCAACGAGGATCTTTGCATGCCTCAGCATAAGAAGTAGGTTCCTCAATGGACAAAACACTCAATGCAAAGGCCTTTTGACTGGCAGTTAGATGATCATATGCAACCTGGTGAGATATGTGATGTTTGCTTTTGGTGGTTGCCATGCTCACATGATAATCCTTGTGCCAAATAGGAACTGTGCGATGCCTAGTGGATTTTCTTAAAAACTCAGCCTCATCAGTGTCATTGTGATCAGGAAACACTTCTATCTCCATGTCCTCCCCCTCAAACTGCAAGCTGATGGGAGGAACATCCAGGGAAGCAGCAGGCAGTGCAGAAGAATGAGGAGAAGAAGTGGAAGTGGAAGAATGAGTTGAATTTGGACTAGGAAGAGAAGTGGAAGAGGTAGGTTTGGTAACAGGTGAATGAGAAATGGTAGATTGAATAGGTAGAGTAGATGGGGAATGTTCATCAACAGGAATTATAGGAGCAAGATGAGGTGTGACAGAATCAGGAAGAGAGGAGGAAGTGGATTGAGTAGAGTGGAATGGGAAAATGGACTCATAGAAAGTCACATCCCTGGAAACAAAGTAAGAATGATTGTTAAGGTAAAAAAGTTTGAAACCTTTAATCCCAGTAGGAAAACCAAGAAAAATACACTGCCTGGCTCTGGAATCAAACTTAGTTCTATCCCTGTGAAGAGTAGAAGCATAGCAAAGTGAGCCAAAAACTCTCAGATTGTGGAGAGAAGGTGGTTTGTTGTATAGAAGCTCATATGGGGACTTGTTCTCCAACACTGTGCTAGGCAATCTGTTTATTAAATAAACAGCATGTAACACACAGTCACTCCAAAATCTGAGTGGTATTCCAGATTGGAATCTAAGTGATCTTGCCACATTGAGGATGTGCTGATGCTTCCTCTCTACCCTGGCATTCTGCTCAGGAGTTTCTACACAAGACTGTTGGTGAATGATTCCTTTTTCAGTATAAAAATCTGCCAAATGGAACTCAGAACCCTGATAACTTCTAATGATCTTAACTGATTTGGAAAACTGCCTTTCCACCATAGTACAAAAGCTTTGCAACAAATAACCTGCCTCAGATTTATACTTCATCAAAAACACCCACACAGCTCTATTGAAATCATCCACAATTGTCAGAAAATATGCATAACCTTCATGAGACTTAACTGCCAAAGGACCCCAAATGTCTACATGGATTAAAGCAAAAGGTTCAACTGCTCTACTGCTACTAACAGGGAAAGGAAGTCTTTTGTGTTTAGCAAAATGAAAAATAGAACAATGAGAAACTACAGTCCTATCACTAGGCAATAACTGCTTCTCCTTGTCCTTGCTGGGATGCCCTAGTCTCCAGTGCCAAAGCTGGATTGGATGTGGTTGAAAATTGTATGAAATGGCTGCTTGGGGTGTAGGTAGTATAGGTGCTTTGGCCTTGGTATGCAATTGATATAATCCATTACTCTGTCTTGCCAAACCAGTCCTTTTTTGGGTCACCAGGTCCTGAATTTGACAAGAATCAGATTCAAAGTGTAAGGATATGGGTTGATCATTTGTCAATTTGCTAACTGAGATAAGGTTAAAGGTAAAGCTAGGCACAAGAAGAACATTGTCTAGAGAGAGATCAGGGGACAGTTGGACTTTGCCTATGTGACTAACTCTCACTTGAGTCCCATTAGGTAAATACACAAACTGATCACTAACTGGAATGTACTCAGAGAACAGGCTGATGTGGCAAGCAATGTGATCAGAGGCCCCAGTATCAAGGATCCAACAATCACTAAGGGATTCTGACTTATGTTGTAAGCAGGAAGACCATATGAACTTACCAGCATAAGTAGGAAACTGACCAACACTGTGAGCCACTGAAAAAGCCAGATGATTGACTGAAGGGGAAGCAGGAGGAGAAGGACTATGTGAAGGTACTGTCTGAAGCAGATACTTGAGCTTGTTCAGCTCATCAGCAGAAAAACTCATGCTCTCCTTAGAGGAAACACTTCGAGTGTCATTGCTCAACTTAGACTCTGAGCTTCCACCATCACTCTCATTAGGAATTTCACCATGAGTAACTGCAGCAGCTACTCCACCAGACATCCTTAGCTTCTTATTCTTCAGCCTATAACATTCCTCCTTTGTGTGACCTTCCTTCTTACAGTACCTGCAGAATTTCTTCCCATCTTGAGGGTCTCCTTGAACAGCCAGTGCAACAGTTTGAACTCCCCTGGTTATGCCTTTGTCAGCTTTCAACTTCTGCTCATGCTGCAAAACATCATTGATTGCAATATCCACTGTAGGAAGTGGCTTCATCATCAAGATCTGGGTATGCACTACATCAAACTCAGACCTAAGACCCTTGAGGAAATGAATGAGGTAATAAGTCTCCTGTTGTTGCTTAAATGCCTCAACTGCAGCACAGGGTTGAGTTCTCTGTGGAGCAAAATTGCAATCAACAATAGGACTAAACTGAAGGTGCTCCTCCCACAATCCTTTCAAGGTTGTATAGTATTGAGTCACATTAAGAGTTCCCTGCTTGCAAGCGATAATTTGTCTTGAAGATTAGACAGTTTAATGGCATTTGCAAACCCAAAGCGAGCCTTAAGCTCTTCCCACAGGGTTCGAGCAACTTCATGTTGCATCACACTCCTTCGAATCTCTTTATCAACAGAATTCAAGATCCAACAAAGCACAAGAGTATTGCAAGCATCCCATGTGCTATAAGTTGCATCACCCACAGCTGGGATAGCAAGCCATCTATAAACCCTAATTTGTGTTTCGTTTTCAGGGCCATTCGAACAGCTCTCTGCCACATCTGGTAATTAGCTCCATCTAGTACTTCTGAAACGATCGCTTGAGAAATGTTCTCATTAGGGTTGATGTAGAAAGGATTACCGAATTGTAGATCCAGGCGATCGTTGTTGTTGTTGTTGTTGCTTGTTGTTCCAGAATTCATCCCTGTAAAGCTTCCAAAAGGAATGCTTCCAGGAGGTGTGTTTGGTGGTGTCGTCGCCATGGAAGCGTTACTGAATCAGTGACCGCTCTGATACCATATTAGAACTAGCAGTAGCTAGGTTAAGAAGAAGGAGGAAGGAAGTAGACGACGGCACAATTGGAACGCGCAAGAGAGCAAGGGATCTCTCTGCTATCCTTTTATATTCATTCTGAAGAGTAAAGTTCAAGATACAAAACAGTGAAAACGGAAATGGCAAACTGAAATTTTAATTGATAGTAAATGTAAATGGCGCGTGTTCGTTTCTCATTCGTCCATGTAAGCTCCACCCAACGGTAACTCTTCGAGCTCCACAACGGCGTCGTCTTGCTCTTCGACTAATGCTGGATGGAAGGGAACCCAGAAACGTTTCCGTTTCTGGGTGGAGTTTCTTCTTCATAGCTTTACTCCTCTGCTGCTTCACTGGTCTTCGTCTGCAACAGAGTATCATCTTCAACTTCTTTAGTTAATAAAACCTGGAGAGCTCGCCTCACGTGCATGAATCTCTACTAAGGTTGGATTCCCAACCTGCAAACCGATCGGCTCCTCCCTCCTTTCCATCTCCCTTGCAACTTGCTTCTCGAGCTCCATTTCCACGACTTCCTCCTCAGTTACTAGAGATGAAAATCTCGACTCTGAAGTAACCTCCCTGATTTGTTTAACCGAGGCCATCTTGGTATTCCATTGACCACGTTGATTAGTTTTCTTCCCCTTGTATTTTGCTACCATCCAATCCCCATAAGCAGGTTCCAGTTTCTTAAGCGGTTCCTCCATGGTCGGAGGGACAACTGGGTTCGTGGGCGTCTGGGATGCCTGCGGAGAAAGGGTAAGACACATTGCTTTTGCATGCCATAGCAGCCACACTTCGTACAAATGTTATGAAGCCCCTCATACTCAATGTAGTATTTCCTTCCCTCAATGCGATAGCTTCCCAACAAGGGTTTCGTCAAATCGACTTGCACGCAAACTTCATATCTTCCAATGTGGTGAGAACGCAGTCCTCCCATGTTGCTCTGCTGTGTGTATAAATTTTGTATTGCTGCTCAAAATCCCTTATCGAGCAACTAAAATGATCTCACTCGAATTGGAAACACTTCAGTGGGTAATCTATGTGGCTTGACTCATCTTGTTACGCGATGCAAGAGAGTCGAAGCCAGTAGGAACCTAGTTGCCAACGATGTTAACCAGTATTGGCTTTCTCACCCACTCAGCAAAGGCAAGGCAGCTGGGAGGACTGCGTTCTTCCAATCCCAACAACCATAGGCAATAGCTTCATGAATTGAAGGTCTGCTATCAACAACACAACCTATTCACACAATTTAGGTTAGCGCATATTTCTATTTACTAAATACATAAATAAAAACAAATCAATAGCAAAGCCTAAGTGACAGACATCTCCAAATCTGCAACACCCTGCCGGTGTAGCTGGAAAATACCATGGATTACACTTTATAAACTCATTACATGCCACTTTGTATGTCTCGCAGTACTTGCAGAAAGATCAGAAGACAGCTGTATAAAAACTCAAGCCTCTCAAGTGTTGCACCATCGTATTGATGATTCGACTTAGTTCCCTGCATCTTTGACTAGTCTTTCCTGAAACCAGGATTCACATGGTGTAAGACAGTACATTAGGGTTTCTGCAGGAATCATGGCGAACATGACAGAGGGCCTCAAATGTGCACGGCTTGAAGAGAGCAAGTTAAGCTGAACCAAGAGTTACCCATAGAGTTCTTCCATTGTTTCTTCCAGGCGATTAACATCAGCACCCACAATTTCAGCTGCCTTTTTGCCATTTTGATAGAAGTGGAGCGTTGGCTGGATAGCAGGGAAAATTCGATATTATTATATAGAAATCACAAGAAAAAAGGGGGAACACCAAAGATGCAAATGAACACGCAAGCCTGCCTTTATGCAGTTGAGAAAATAAACAGATAGACTACACAAAGGGTGGTCGTCATTGGCAGAATTCAAATATAAGCAAAATGAGAGACTGCCAAAAGTGATGCACTAATGACCAGCAATGAAAAGCATATAACGGCAACCACAAATTTTCCAACGAAGAGCTATGGCAGGAACTAACGCCTTTCCAAGTTCATACAAACATGATGATTGGAACTAGAAAATGACATTGAAGAAATACTATGCAGCAAATAAGATCACATCCACCTTGAAGGCAAAAAGAATTATGTTAATCAATATATGAATGGATGCAAAAGAACAAAAAGGTACTCATCCACCAGTCTTCTTATTGACCAGAGTTGAAAGGTCCTGAAAGGCTTTTCCACGGCCACTACATTATGCACTTCATATAAGTGTTACCAAATTTAAGATCGAGTATGAGATATAGCAAAAGCTGTAGTGCAGTAGATCCTAAATAAAGGCAAACAAAAAATACAAAAGGGCAAGTAATCCTACCACAGAAGTTATAAACAATCTGTTCAGCACGCTGTTCAAGCCTTCCTGCAGAATGATAAGCAGCACAAGTTTACAAAGGTAAACCAAGTCGTATGAGGAGTCATTAGACATTCGCTGTTACGAGGAACTCAAACTATACGTGACAGGTACCTGATCAATGTCGATCTTGTAAGTCGGCACATGAGGGTATTCCTTGCTAAGTTGGGTGACGACAGGAGATATAAACTTACCTGCACCAAATATTAACAGGAACCATATCACGAACATGTTATTCAGAAAAGAATCCGACACCCATCAAAGAAACCAGCTGAACTTGTCTACACTAAGGTGGGTTCAGAAAAATACATGGGCCACACCACACAGCGGTAAAGTAGTAGACTGCGGGCAACGACTTATCTGTGACAAAGACGAACAGATTTTACACAAATTGTTAGTAGCATGAAGCAGTCGGCAACCCTTTACAGCCAATGAAGTAAAATAGCTTACCTTGAACGTCTTTGAGAGAGCTATTAAACTCCTCTTCTGTCTTAATCAGCACAACGTTTGATGAACCTGAACCTGAACCTAACTTAACAACGAGAGTAAGCAAAAAGAAGCTACAAATTTGGCCAAATAGAAAAACCCAATCAACCAACGCGAAAAGAGGTTAACGAAGTGCACCTGCTGATGAACTAAAGCTCCTATTGAACTGCAGAGGAGTTGAGGCGTGGAAGACAGCTGAGGCCGTGGCTGCGGTGGCGAACGAGGGACTGCCGACGAGGAATTTCCAGGATATAGGAGCATTTGATGAGGAGATTAGGTTCGCCAGGGGAGCAGCGGTTTCCCCGAGAATCGGAGGCGTGGAAAGTCCGACAAGATTCGAGGCCCCCCGTCGTAGAATCGTTCCGATCACTGAGCTCCACTTCATCCTCTCCGATGGTGATTTCCCTTGCATTCGTGTCGGTAGTTGCGATTTACGTTCGCGGCAGCAGTTGTAGGAGTTGGTATCGAAATCGAAGTTGGAGTGTTGGACCCTAGCCCAATTACATATTGGGCTTTCAGGAATCGTGAGAATTCGACCCCGTGTCATTTTCATCAATAAATATTTTAGAAGGTCCGGTCGGAACTGAAATATCGGGACCGAAGATAGACTGTTTTAGCGGTATAAAAGGAAATCACACTATTGACTTTTCCTATATAACCTTTGATATGGTTTCGCAATCATTTATTCATATGCGTTGGCCAATTCAGTGACTTCCGTTCAACTAACAAATTACTGGTTCTTTGACAACATGCAATGAATCACCAACGACTAATTTGTTCCCTCTATTCCCCAAAATCCAAAAGGAATGACTAACAACAGAGAAACATGATTACTGCTAACGAAGAGGTGCATAGCTCGTTTTGCAAAGGTAACACATTTGGATTCAAAGTGACGATGGCATAGAAAGGGCTTCGATTATCTGGCCTTCCAATTTGTCCTCGTCAACCCACTCCGAACTCCTCCGCTGTAACAGCTCCTTAGCACTCTTTTTCTTCTCTTCCCTCTTAGCTTCTTTCATTCGCCAATTCTCAAGCTTCTCCGCTCGCTCTTTCAACTGCATTCACCACGATCGACCAACATATCAAACATCCAAAACAATAATGTGCACAATGTCAAACCGATCGATAGTTACTTCGTCTGTGCAACAAAGTGCACAACATCCCAACTCATCAAACTTTTTAGGCGATGTAAACAACTCCGCTTTGGAGGACTCAAATACAGAGTCAGTCTAGATTCGGGAATCTAGTAATCCTTGTAATCCACCCTACCAATGTGGAAAACAGCTATGCCAGACAACTGGTTGCCGTCTGTTTAACAAGCCATAGACAGGAAGGAAATAAGCTGTTCCACTAGTATTAGATTCAGAAGACATAGAGAGAGTAACTGCGAAAGATGGGAGAAAAACACAGGCAAAACCCAATTGGTATAAAGGATGCATAGATAAGCAAGCAACAGATGCTAAAATGATTGCTGCCAATATTGAACTCTTCAACAAAGTAAAGTAGTAAACACAACACCAAACATGTGACTGCTGCATACTTGTAGTGATGAGTGCATAGAATATCAGCTACCATGTTTCACTATGATCATCAACTTTTCTCTCATACCGCCATCAATCAAGAGCAAATATAAATCTCAAAACTTTCAACTGATACAGGGCGGCTCATTATTGGACATCATTTACTCCCATTCCCATCCTCAAAATTAACAAGATCAAAAAGAGGGCAGCAGAACGCTTATTTACTCTTGAAGTTGAATCTCACTGACAGAAAGAGACTCAAAGCCGTTGATCAAACAACATCAACTATTTTGCATCATACAGCCAGATACTGAAGACAAACTCTTTGCCTCATTCCACCAATGTCGTACACTCACCTCTAAACCATCCGAGACAGCAAAAAATGTCACCTAATGACCTAAACAACGAATTAACTCTTACATCAGATTTCCTCAACGTACAACCCATGATTTCCAACGTATCTATCCAGAATTCATTCACTAAGTTATTGACAAAGAACCCCAAATCGACTTAATACAATATTCTACGCGGATCTACTTTGATCTAGACTGAACTCGACTCTAGGCAACCTAGTATGTCGACAACTCTAACCTCATATATCCTCTACCAGTACCCTACGCATTTCTCGCGAAAGTCTAATTCGTCCTCTGAACTAGTTCTCCGTCAACGAATTCAAAGGCGAAATAGGGTTTGGCGGAAAGAGGACATACCAGGGTTTGGCGGAACTCCTCTTCAGCAACTTTACGCTCTTCCGCTCTAACCTTGGCCACCTCAGCCTTCAGCTTACGGCGCTCCTCGTTAGCGATCCTGATGGCCTCTTGTCTAGCTTCGTCCTTCCTCTGCTTCTCCATGCGCATGGCCTCCATCTCCACGATATATTCCTTGCGCACCTCCTTCACTTGCTTCGCATACTGTCTTCGCAACAGCGCCAGTCTCTTCTCCGCCTCTTTCGGATTCTTCGGCGCCTCCCAGCTTCCCAAGAAAGAATTCGCCTCCAGGTAATTGTGAGTTTCCTTGTGGTTGTTTTTGCCGGTGGTGACGGAGGAAGAGGAGAAGAGGCGGCGCCCCGTACGAACGACGCCACGAGCGGAGGCGGCAGTGGCCATTTTTGGGGATTTCGGTGAATAATCGCCTACGAGACTAGAGACGGAACGAAGACAGAATAGTCTTCCTATTCCTTCTTTACCAAATTGGACTGGTTGGGTCGGGTGGCAAAAATTAGACGGCTAACAAGCGTTTTTGTTAGTAGATACTAACACGGATCGGATTTACGCCACGTCCCAAATGCTGCGATCCAAGGGTCAAGGTTGTCGGGCTTATTAATTGGTTGCTGGTGGGCCGAGAAGGAAGGGGGTTGTGTTGGGCAGGGACAGGCAAATGAAAAAAGTGGGCCCGCTAGGGGGTTTGGGCGGGAGAAGGTAAATGGAAAAAGTTGCTCTCTCTGTGTGATTAAAATTGAGAATAGAAAACAAAAAAAATAGGATATCACAGAAGCCATTAAATGCCCAACCACCCAACTCTCTCTCTCTCTTCGTAATTCTCTGTTTTCCGATCACGAACAGTAACTCTGGCCACCGTCTTTTCCTTTCCGGCGAGCCTTGTCCACCAGCCGAAGGATGCTGATCGACGATAATGGTGAGTTGGATGATCAACGAGCTTCTCCAATGAAGAAGGATAAGCCGATCATCCAAAATAGTGAAGAAGAACCCTATACTACATCATATGAGTTTGTTGATGAAGATTCAGGTGGTGCTCCTACCCTCGAAGAAGAAGAAGAAGAAGAAGAAGAAGAAGAAAATAAAGGTTGATTGAGTAATCTATATATATGTTTGTTTGTGTTGTTGTGCGATTGGTTGGTTGCATTGAATGTCATTTAATGATATTGATGTTGTTATGGAGTACTGATACGGGGTTCATGGATACGACTTACTTAGATGTTTGATATTAGTCTGGACATGTTGGGCGTGGTGTGTGACCTACTATTTAATATCCATGTTTGATACTAGTCTGGTACTTATGGATATTATTTCTTAAAGACTGGATGTTTGTTGAAGCCTATGTACTCTAACAGTTTGTGGGTAATATTTCATTTGTTTATTGGACAATATGGATAATAACATGTCTCATACCATTAACTCGCAGCTCATAACACGTTGGACCTAGAAGATGAGGAAGCGAGGAAGAACATCTTTTTTCGTACTAAGGATGAGTGCTTGGATTTCTATAAATGCTATGCTCACAAAAAAGGATTTGGTGTTCGAATATATGGGGAACACCTAAAAAACAGGAAGAATTCTAATGGAGTGGTGGAGAAAAATTATTTGTACCTTTATTACTTTTGTAATAAGGAAGGTTGGACAAGCACTAGCGAAGTAAATGTCAATGTGGACGAACAGAGACAGCCGGAATACAAGGTTGTGGAGAGAAGGCGCCCTAAAAGAAAGAGGGCTCGAGTTAGGGATGGATGTCCCGCCCGTGTTCGTTTTCGATTGGATGCTACTAGGGACGGATTTGTAGTGTATGAATTCGTAGAAGCCCACAGTCATGATTTGCACTCTATCGAGCATATGGACTTGCACAAGTCCAACAAGTGCATGAGTGATGCTCAGGAAAAGATGGCCGAAGCTAATCGCGATGTCAGGATGAGTCTTAGTGCATCGTATCAATTATTGGCTGACTGTGTTGGTGGCTATCAAAATCTGAGATTTACCAAATCCGATCAGAAGAACCACTTGAACAGTAAAAGGCAAAGGACTATGGCTCGTGGCGAAGCAACTTATTTGCTTGACTACTTTGAGGACCAAAAATAAAAGCATCCTGGCTTCTTTTATGTTGTAGAGGTAGATTGCGAGGAGAAAGTTGCTAATATTTTTTGGGCGGACAGTAGGATGCGTGAAGATTATGCGCTTTTTGGAGATTCGGTCTCCTTTGATACCACCTTCCGAACCAATAAATACTTCCGTCCACTGGGTACGTGAACCACCTAACAAAGAAGATGTTTTTTCAACACTCGTTTGGTTATACATTGTCGTTAATAGTTTTCTTATGCATGGATGTTTGTATGTATGTTACAGAAATGGTTATGAATAGATTGTAGGGTGGTTCGAGAGTGGTCTGTTGTGATCCGATATTAACATATGATGACAGGATATGCTTTTGTAACTGAATGGATATATGTCTGTCATAATGAGATACTAGTCAGAGCTTTACAGATATTTGTTGACATTTGTTGTCATTAATTGTTGTCTTGTGCATGGATGTTTGTAGGTTTCAATCACCACCGTCAAACTTGTGTGTTTGGTGCTTGTTTGATGTATGATGAGACTACACCGTCTTTTGAATGGTTGTTTGTTGTATTTAGTCGGTGCATGAAGAAGAAGCTCCCAGTCACTGTTTTTACTGACCAGGACGCCGCCATGGCAGTTGCCCTTAGAAAGGAGTGACCTACTGTGTTTCATGCACTCTGTACTTGGCACATCCTCATGAATGCCAAGAAGCATCTTCGTAAAGACAGGGCATTTTGGAAGAAGTTCCAAACTCATCTTTCTTATATTTTCTATGACGTCGACAGTGATAGAGAGTTCGACATGGCATGGAGCACAATGGTTGCTGATTGTTTCCCTAATAGCAAAATTGCGGACGGTCACCCATGGTTGGAATATTTGAAGAAATTTCATCATCAATGGTGTTCCTTATGGTTGAGAGATCAATTCACAGCCGGAATGTTGACTACGCAAGCCAGCAAGTCGTGCAATGCACAAGTACGACGTTTCTTGAAACCGAAGCATGATTTGGACATGTTTTTCATTCATTTTAGCAGGTACGTACGCAATATATATGTTTGCTATTCTGTGATATTAGCTTGTCCGTTATGGATATGTTTCATTGTCATCTGGATATTGATATGCTCTTGTTAAATATTATTTTGTGTTGGTGTTATATTAGTACTAATGTGAGTGGATATTAGTCTGGGCACTAATCTCTTTTCTCTTGCTTTCTAAATGTAGTTTGGTTGCTGAAAAAAGATGCAAGGAGAGTGATTCAGACTACAGTGGGAAACAATCGGTTCCCTATATAATGTTGGAGCACAGCCCTATCCTAAAACATGCGACAAAGATCTTTACTTCTAACATCTTCAATCGAATATAGCAGGAGTATTTGAAAATTGAAAAATATATAATGGAGACGCTCTCGGATACTAGGGATGATGGCATGATTGGCTACCGCACATATATGATAAAGGATGGTGAGCGTAGTGATGAGCGTGTCGTTCTCGTCGATATTTCTACGAGGACATTGGTATGCGAATGCAGAATGTTCAGAACTTTCGGAGTGTTATGCCGCCACATGATTAAGGTGATGCGGCTTCTTGGAGATTTTGGGGAAGCCAGTATGAGAAGTGTTCCAGATCATTACATACTCAAGCGATGGATGTTGGAGACGAGAAAGAAAGAGGTTGTTGATGTCGATGGTTATGTTGGTCCTTCAGCTTCTAGTGAGAATGATGCGGGAAAAGTTATAGCAATGCGTTACCGAGAAACCACTGCAATGTTGAATAAGCTAGCAACTAACATGCCGATGGCCGATGAGAAGGACTACAATAAGTGGATGGGAGTACTCAAGAAATTGTGCAATGAGGCAAACAAGGCATTGTCAAAGACTATTACTAGCGAGGACAGTAAGTATATTCACTAATATCATTTGTAAATTGTTAGAGTTTAATATCGTTGCATTTGCTAAATTCTCTAACGTTGTAGGACGGAATGTACCGATAACTGGGCTGACTTTGAAGAAGAAGAGTAATCCAAAGAGCCAAGGTAAGGAACGTTATCAGTCTACCAATGAAAAGGAACGTCGTCGAAAGAAACGTGTCTATAAGAAGAGAATGAAATCAGTTAAAGTGGTCACGCCGGACAACAATACTCAACCGGATGACCATATTAGTGATTTGGATGATAATATTGATCAATGGTTATGAATAGAATGTAGGGAGGTTCGAGAGTGGTCTATTGTGATATGATATTGACAAGTGATTCCAGGATACGTTTTTGTAATGCAGTGGATATTAATCCCCCTGTATAGGATACTTGTCTGGGCAAATTTGATATCCACTCTATTTTGTATAGATATTGGTCTAGGCTTCCTAGATATTTATGAATAGAATGTAAGGAGGTTCGAGACTGGTCTATTGTGATATGATATTGACAAGTGATTCCAGGATATGTTTTTGTATTGGAGTGGATATTAATCCACTTGTAAAGGATACTTGTCTGGGCAAACTTGATGTGCACTATATATTGTACAGATATTAGTCTGGGCTTCCTGGATATCAGTATTTTCAACGCAAGTACAATTGTACCAATGATTACTTATTTCACTATTCACATGTGACCTTTTTTGTTACTGTACTCATGTGATCTTTTTTGTTACTGTACTCATCTGACCGTTTTTGCATTTGTCTATTTAAGACAAATCATACACAAACCCAAATCTGCTATCCTCCTCTCTCAGTTTCTTCTTCACTTCTATTCCAAAGCAAAATCCATGTCTGGAGAGACTCCTAAACCAGCGTGCCGGGTATTGGTGGATGAGTTCGAATATGATGGTGTTGTACTCTGTTACCATGGTTGGAGAGCTGCCAAACGACTTGTTGTTGATGGAGTCAACCTACCGAAGAGGTATTTCCGATGTCGGATGTACGAGTACAACAATGATAACGGGTGTGGTTTTCACATGGATTGGGATGAAGTAATGTTCCCCGGTTTTTCAGAGTCGGATGATGAAGATAACACCGAGGAGACCGTGAAGAAATGAATTAGTATTTCCTGTCATCACTTTGTATTGTGTTGAGTTTGTTTGTATTTCTGATTGAAAGTGTTATCCATCTTTATCGGGTATTAGTCTAGGTCTTTCGGATATTTATCCGGGTCTTATGGATATTTGTCTGGGTCTTTAGGATATTCGTCTGGGTCTTAAGGATATCTGTATGTGTCTTTCGGATATTTGTATGTGATTTGCTGATATATGTCTAAGTAAAGAAGGTATTAGTCTGGGCTGTATGGATATTGTTCTGCTACTATAAGGATATTAGTCATTGTCAAAGACGGATATTTACCTGGGAGGTTACAATATATGGTGCAATCAAAATTTAAGTTGGTAATTATATCCAACATCTACCAAATTATCCTCCATCCTAATACAAACCATCATCCATTCCTAATTATATCCAACATCTAGCAAAATATCCTCCATTCTATCCAGCACACCTAAACAAATCTAAAATCAATTTCTCTTCTTTTTCCCTTTCTCTTTTTGCATACTCCAATCTTTTGCTCCTTGAATTATCGCATCCTTGTGGCCGTTATAGTTCCATAACAGGAGGTTAGCTGCAATCTGTGTTCGTTGTTCCTCCACATGTTGCTGCTTGTGCCAACTGTTTTTACATTCCACCGGAAGGTGACCCGCCCATAGCTCCATGTAAAGGCATGCAAATACGCCACAATCATCGTTGCCAAATTGCTGAGGAACGTCAGCAATGCTGAATTCCCACTCATCCAATTTACAATCGACCCATTGCTCTTTGAGGAACTCTGTCACATACTCAAAAATCACTTTCCCCACTGGTCCATGATCCTCCTTAGCAACTCGGGCATTGGGCTTTTGGCTGTCGAGAAGGAAAGTCTTCCTATTCTTCATGTCAGCGACATACACTCAGTAGTGATCATCTCGATACATTGGAAAGAAGATCTGAAACACAATACAGTTAGTGAGTTAATCATTGACGAATATCCTAACAACCCAGATTAATATCTCAAAAGCCCAGAATAATATCCGATAAAGAAGAATAAAATATCCTATAAACCCAGACCAATATCAAGGAAAGTTAGAAAAATATCCAAACATTGAAGACACATAATCACATCTTTCCAAGTTTTCCCATTTCAGCAATGGATTACTCTTGTGCATAGAAATATAGGCAGAGACTCTCGCCTTGTCCATGGGCATCTTTTTTATAGCATTAGCGACGACATGTTGCTATTTAGAAGAGACAACAATATCAAATTAGACATTTTCAACATAAATAGGATTTAAGTAGTGAAGATAATACTTACTACATAGGTCCATGGGAAGACAAGTCTCTTCACCACCCCCTTACGTTCTTCTTGGTCATTTAGGAAGTGCCCGTATACTAAAATTACTTGGCTATGAACCCAACTTTTACGCTTCAATGACAATATTTGGCACGGCTAAACTTGGCCTTTGGAGTTTCCTCGATAAAGTCGTGACTGTAAAACACAAATGAAAAACCAGGTTAGTAGCCATGAATTTGACAGATTGAAATTGGCGATTAAAGAAGGAAACATGACAACTTACTCATCTTTAGTTGTGGTACTGAAGACGAACTCAACCACTTGGAGTGCCGTCACGTCAAATTTTGTCGACAAAGTCTTAGGCAGAACGTACACTGATGAGTCAAATGGGTGGTGTTTTGACCTCTCGAATGCAGGAGTTTTTAGAGTGGTTTTCCATGCTTCTGATGTGATAGAGTGCATAAACTTTGCCTCCTCATGAGTCATAGCCCTCTCACTTACGAGAACATCATTGTCGCTATCCTCAATCATCCTCTGGCATGCTGCTGCTATAAGCTCTTCCTTCGATGGTAATGCTTCTCCTTGCGTTAGAACCTCAGTAGCAGCAGTTTCCTCGACAGGTATATGCAAAACATTGCTAAAGGTTAGTATCTACTAAAAAAGAAACAAATATCCTAGAAGCCCAGGCTAGTATCCACAACAAAGAAATAAATATCCTGGAAGCCCAGGCTAGTATCCATAACAAAGAATCAAATATCCAGAAAGCCCAGACTTGTATCTACTCAATATGAAATAAATATCCTAGAAGTCTAGGCTAGTATCCATAACAAAGAATCAAATGTTACCGTTGTCGGAGATGTCCTCATACTCTCTTCAACAGCAGCAGTGGCCTGAAAACCAATCTGCATCACATCAGCGAATGTGATAGACGGGTTGGTATAATGCATGACAACTACCTCCGACTCCACCACTTCAACCACGTCATCAACTGTTGATGTAACTGCAGGCAACTCCAACTCCTGAACATTCTTCTTACTTCTTTTCCTGGAGTATACATGGCCAAATATGCTGTTTTCTCTCACAGGACCTTGACTAACCTCGTCCTCTATGACAACTCCCCGATCTTCCTCCTCTATGACAACTACCTCATCATCATCATCCTCCTCCATGACAACTACCTCCTCTTCCTCCTCCATGACGTCTACCTCCTCTTCCTCCTCTTCCTCGTCTTCCTCCTCCATTACAACTACCGGATCTTCCATTTTAGCTTTTGCTGCTGCTACCAAAGACGAAGAAAATACCAAGAATCTGCCCGATTCCTGTCAAGCTCAGCACCCACAAAGTCGAGCTGGAAAACAGTGCAGACATATAAAGGTTAATATCCGGACTACCCAGGTACGTATCTAACAATGAAAAAACTAATATCCACGAGAACACATTAATATCCGCTTGTGAAAGAGTTAATATCCATTTGTTTTGTACTGGTATCCAGAATGCAAAATATCCATAATGAAAAAATATCCTGGTATCATTCCAATATCCATAATGCAAAATATCCATAATGAAAAAAAATCCAAAACAAATACACACCAATATCCTACTGTCAACAGAAAACAACGATTGTTGGATAAAACGATTGTTTAAAGCCATTCCAACATGGCAATTATATCATTCAATAAAGCTCCATTACAACCACTTATTGATGTTGAAACATGCAAAGTTCAATTCTTGTCTTGCTGGCGCTTAATGGCAACCCTTCGGACACTTTCCCGCCATGAATCCCACTTATGCATCACTTTTTCAGTCAAGCACTGCAGTACCTTAATCTACACATACATCCCAAAAAATTTGGTTTACTACATGCACTCGTGTCTACTAACCCCACGATTTCTAGTTTAAAAGACAATAATCTACATACCTCGTCGGTATCAAGGGACTCCAAGTCTGTTTCCTCCCACCATTCTGTCGTGTATAACCACGGAGAAGCTGTATGAAGAGCTGAGCTGCTTGTTCCTGATTCCCACTCCCTCCTGCCATGTCCTGGAAAGAAGCGAGATCGGACTTCTTCTCTCGACAGCAACACGGGAGCCACACCATATAGCTTCGCCTTAGGGACAGCCAAGCATAGGTTATCCACCCTTGGTTCAAACCAATAGCTGCAAAAAAAAGTGTCTGTTAGAAAAGATATCCAAATAAAAAACAACCAATATCCAGACAACACAGATTAGTACCCAGTCATGCTAAAAAGATACCTTGTATCAAAATAACTAATATGCCAAGAATGCTAACAAATATACACATCTTTAAAGAATTACTTACCATCAAGAAGTGGATATCCCCATTAGCCCACTGCAGCATTTGTCTCTTGGCCCTAGCTTTATCTTCTCTTTTTTGGTAATAGTCAACTCTAGCTTCAGCTGTCGGGCGACGTGACCACTCCAATTAAAAGTTCGAATGTCCTCAACCCTCCCCGCCAAGTACTCTGCATAGTCGAACTTACAGATCCGGGAGCTTGTTGGAACGAGCAACAAACCAAGAGCCACAAGTAGGAACTGCTTCACTGCAACTGCAACAGGTGGTCTCCTCCTCTCTCTACCTCGACCTTTAGTCGACTTAGTCAACTTAACCATCTCCAAAACTTTAACATTTCGTTCCCGATTACCCTCCATGCCGAGCTCCTCCTTCAGAACCTTGAGCATCGAGTTATTTGCCTTCACAAGATCAATCTCAGCACCGCCAAGAGGAATGCCATATACACGGCCAGCATCCTCATCTTCAATGGTGAGCACCTGTTGCAGGTTAGATGAACAAAGAGCAATGAGCCAGAAGGTCAAGCATACAACAAAAAAATCCAATAAGCATACAACAAATGGTGAGCACCTTTTTATTTTCGCCTTCACCAAAATGAAGCTGCTAGTGCGCATGTCGTAATGTGCCATCAAGGAAGGCAGCATCTTCTTAGGAACATCGACCAGTCGAAGCTCAAATAGGCTTCCAAATCCAGCCTTCTCGATCTCTCTCTTGCAAGCTTCATAGTATCGTGGATCTTGCTTCTAGTCTTTTATAATTGACAGCACCTTCTTGGTGCTACAGCGAAATCTATATTGGCGCCCTCCTACTTCTTCAGACACATGTTCACCATTTTCTTCGTCCTCGCCATCTTCGTCCTCATGCTCAATTTCTTGCCCATCATCGAATTTTTCATGATCGTCTTCATGCTCAATTTCTGCATCCCCAAAATTAGATTCTTCTTCTTCCTCTTGTTGTTGTTGTTTAGCACGTTTAGGCCTCGAGGTTTCAGCTTCTGTTACGGGCCTCATTGCTGCAGCAGCTTTAGTTCTTGCCATTGTTGTGTTTTCCCTGTACATTAGAATACCCCAATTCGTCAAACTGATATCCAGGTACACCAAACAGATCTCCAGGAAAACCACAACTGATATCCATATACAACAAACAGATATCCAGACAATTCACAACTAATATCCAGATATACCAAACAGATATCCATGAAATAATCAACTGGTATCCAGATAGACCAAACAGATATCCAGGAAAAACACAACTGATATCCATATACACCAAACAAATATCTAGGCAATTCACAACTAATATCCATATATACCAAACAGATATCAAGGCAAATGAAAATAAATATCCTGCTTCAGATACACAAAACCCAAAACAGGTGCAACACAGATCCAGTCAAATAAGAAAAAATAAAATCGGGTTACCCAAAATCGTAGCCATGCACACCAGGGCAATACCCAAACCCGTCAACACTCGTATCCATCACACAAACCCCAACCAACCATTAACAAGCCGAGCCAGCCAAAACCCCCAATCCATTAAACCCTAAATACAATCCATGCCAAAACCTAAAAATGAATCTATGAAATAAAACAATCTTAAGTACGAATGAAGCAAGGGGAAGACATACCTTATCGGCGTAGTTCTTGTCTCGCTGCCGTCATCGTCGCGATGCTGTCAAAACCGCCGTCACAACTTTAGTGACCGTCGTCCTCGCCACAACCATCAAAGTCAAAGTCGCCAAGCACCACTATCGTCATCGATTCCTCGCGCCACCGTCGCCGTCGATCCCTCGCGCCACCGTCGCAGTCGTCGACGACGTCGTCACCCACGATCGAGTGAGGAAAGGGGGGGAGAGAGAGAGAGGGAGAGGGAGAGGAAGGGCAGACGCTTTTTAGAGAGAGAGGGAAAATGTACGAATGAATGGTGCCTGAGAAAGCAAATATGGGTAGGGTTTGGGGTATTCAAATTTTGGATTTTTTGAATTTGTGGGCCCTGCGGGCCCAATTTTATTTTCAGGGCCTTGGTGACGTGGAGGCACATCTGGCTTTGTTAGTATCTACTAACAAATATACCTGTTAGTAGGATAACTAAGTTGGGGTCGGGTAGGGAAGGTTACTGAGCTTAACGGAGCTTAATCTACATCTATCTACACAATAAATAAAAGCCAAATATTTATTAAATAATAAAAATAAAAGTCTTGAAGCCCCATTTCAAATTTCCTGCATCCAGAGTGAAAGTAGGAAGGGTAGATTTGTCTTCACAATCATTTATTATTTTCTTATTTACAGAAAAAATACATAAGTAATGAGATTTGAACCGTGGTCTCTTCGAACAAAGATAAAAAATATAATCAATTACAATAAACACATTTGTGTGATATTTTTCAAATAAAAACATACAGGAAGCTTAAATCTGAAAAATGTAAGACTTTTCCACCACGGTTAGCAACCGAAATGTCATTGATTCAAATATTGCATATATCGAATTGCACTCTTGAATGTGTAGAAGCGATGTAGAATTCTTAACATAGACTTTTAATTGTTATAACTATCATAAAGTAAAGATATTTTTAAACACAGAACTTTTGAGTGAATATGGGGCACATGTGTCTTTAAGAGAGGGGTAAATATGAAAAGGTTGAGTGATGTTGGTTTGCTAAACGCGGATGGGAAAAACACTACTAATGCAAACGACCCCAAATGGTGCCCCGACCCACTGAACGCTCAAAACCATCGTCGTCTCTCCAAACTTCTCATCAGACTCAACAACCGGCTAACCTCTTGTACCTCTATTGTTAAGCTAGAGTAATTTTTGGAGGGATAAATATGGAAAGATTGGGTGTTGTTGGTTTGCCCAATGGAAAAGGTGCTACTAATGTAAACGAGCCCAAATAATCTCCGACCCACTAAACACTCAACCACAAGGTTACTTTTGCTACACCTAATATAAGAGTGAAATGGGAAATGTGCTTCTCCCATTACAAAATCCTTGCATCATAGCAAAAGTGAGAAGGGTAGATTCGTCTTCACAATCATTTATTATTTTCTTATTCATAGAAAAAATACATAAGTGATGGGATTTGAATTTTGGTCTCTTTGAGAAAAGACAAGAAACATAACCAGTTACACTAAACAAACTTGTTTAAACTTTTTAAATTAAAAACATACAGGAAGCTTAAATCTGAAAAATTATTGGAATTTTCCATCACAGTTAGCTAAGTCACTAACTCTCCCCTAAATATTTTTTTGGCATTTGATACTTCTATTTTCATACTTTGATTATTTTAATTCAAGTTTAACAATTAATTCTATTTCTCTTTATCTTATAAAAGGAGAAAAAAATTAAAATTGCAAGCCTAATGTCATTAGTGCAAATATTGCACATCGAATTGCAGTATTGAATGTGTAGAAGCGATGCATAATTCTTGACATAGACTTAAATAATATTACCAAAAAGCAACAATGTTTTTGAACATAGAAATTTTGAGTGAATATGTGGCACATGTGTCTTTAAGAGAGGGGTAAATAATAAAAGGTTAATTGATGTTGGTTTGTCGAATGCGGATTGAAAAGACGCAACTAATGTAAATAGGTCTAAATGGTGTCCCGACCTACGTACTAAACGCTCAACAATCGCCGTCTCTCCAAACCTTCCCACCGGACTCGACAACCGCCTAACCTCCTCCACCTATATTGTTACGCAAAGCAAATTTCGGAGGGGTAAATATGGAAAGATTGAGTATTCTTGCTTGGAGAGCTGACTGGTAGGTTATTTAGTTTCTTTGACAGTAATGTCTGATCTCTTAACACCAGTTCTTTTGGTTGATCTTCTAGGTTGACTTTTGAGTTGATTAAAAATAAACAGTGTCCCGGGTTCCCGTCCTACTAAGGGCTCAACCATCCCCGTCTCTCCAAACCTTCCCATCGGACTCGACAACCGCCTAACCTCCTCCACCTATATTGTTACACAAAGCAATTTTCGGAGGGGTATATATGTAAAGGTTGAGTGTTGTTTCTTGGAGAGCTGACAGATGGGTTATTTAGTTTCTTTGATAGTAATGCATGATCTCTTAACATCTGTTCATTTGGTTGATCTACTAGGTTGACTTTTGAGTTGATTATAGATATATAACTATACTTTTTGTTATGATACTCCTTTTCAGTATGATCATTTTTCTGATTTGAAATGTTTTGGTGGTTAGTTTCCAGTAAACAAAGACTATTCTGATTAGTGTTAGCATAGGGAATAGCTTTAATCATACCACTTTACACAAAATTTATATGTAAGAGCTGAGATCATTGCCGAATTGAACTATTCAAGCTATAATGCTGATCTTCAACATATAAAAAATAGTTTATTTTTAGTGAAACAACCTCATGATTGCAGATAAGTTTTTACAGTATGATGTTTTGTGATAGTGGTTACTTGCTTCCAGATTTAAAAGTGGGGTTCTAATTACTACAATCTACACATAATATAATAGCAGGAAAGAAAAAACTCGTCCCCCATTTCAAATTTCCTGCTACATGAGCGTTTATAGGAAGAGTATAATAGGAAGTGTCAATTTTTTCTCTTTCCTATGTAGAACGGGCCAACTTATCGTTGACGTGCGGACTTGAACGGGCCCGTGGATTGTTGCGGCCCATAAAAACAGAACATGTTTCAGCCACGGCTGCATCTGTTTCATGCCTCCATAACGATCACCGTAACCGAGTCTTGGATTTTTCCGATGGTGGATCTAGACTCCATCGACGCCGAGAATAAATGAAATAATTAGAGAAAGAGAGCTTCATAATTGTTTACAAAATAATTTCCCCAATCCTTCTTCCTTGTGCTAATCGCCTAATCCCTTCCCTATGAAAAGAAATCCAAGCATACTAAAAAGATCCAGTCATGCTCATGAAGAAGGGTGGTAAATTGCATGCAAGTAAAATTTATAGATTGAGTCATCTAATCATATCATAATCAACCACCCCTTTTTCCATCATTTGCAAGCTCTAACAGATAAATGACAAAGAAATCCACAATATCGCTTCACTGTAACAATACAATATTATTTAAGATTGGTGGCTTTCTCTTCTTCTTCGTTAAACTAACGTCGAAGATAGACAAAGAGGGGGGTTAAACAAGTGATAAGAGAAGGGAAGATTAAGAAATGAAAAACAGAGCTCGAAGGGGGGGGGGGTGGAAATTGAGGTTCGTGGGGAGGATGACATGCAGGGAAATTAAGGACAGGAAACAAGGATGGGAAGAAGTGCCTACCGGCGGCGATATAATTGAGATAGAGAGAGAAGTGAACCATGAGCTGGTGAGCTGGTGAGCAGCTTTTTCTAGGGGATATAGGATTTTCTTTAAGTCCTTTGATTTCTCGGTGTTGGTAAGATATATA